TCATTTGGGAGTCTCCCCCCGTCAAGATAGACATTATCAAAATCACGTTTCACAACGAATTCAACAAATATTTCTCATTTCACGAATTATTATTCTTGACAATTAAGGTTCCCAGTTATGTTGCCAGAGAGACAAATAAAACTAACCATTTCACGGCTCACGGGACTAATGAAAGAAGGCAATTCATAGAGATAACGAAAATATTTGCAAACTAATTTAGCCATTTCACAAAGTTAAAAATAAAGCAATTAACACGCCACGGACAACCAAGTATATAAAACTTTGTTCAATAAGTGGCTTGCTTCCTTCAATTCCAAAGATCGACGCAACTAATTCTTCCGTTATTTTTGTCCACCCACTATTATTTCTTAAACCATTCCAGTTATTTGAAGAATTTCATATAAATAATCGGTGACAATTGGGTCCACCTAGAGCCAATTACGACACGTGGGAAAAACAGTTCCCACTGTGTTGTTTAGTAAACTCTGGTTGCCATGGTGAACACTTGATCCGTGCGTATTTTAGGGTTCATACCTCAAAATAATGACCTCAGTAAAGAGACAATAGGTACCGTGTAGAGAATTCGAAATTTGTACGCGTGATCACACATTTTTTTGCTTCTCAAGTTTGCCAAAAGCTCTCTTCTTTTGGGAAAGTTGATTTACACTGATGTCTATGCAGTGAGTATCAAAATACAAGGGAAATTTTCGGTCATTTGTTGAGATTCACGAAGTCACGACAGTTGTAATTGCTAACAAATTGCGTGACATACACGAAGTCCGTGACAGCCGGTATTTGTAATCCTTAAATGCGTCAAATTTTTCTGTTCTGATTTGAAGAAGCGTATTTGCATAGTTACGTCAACTTCGAAGTATCGTAGAGGAAATATCAACAAAGAATTCACGATCTCAAATGCGTCAGACCCGTTTCGCATTTGTCACGCAACCTGAAACAAAAGAAGGGAGGTTTCTTTGATTGAAATGGAATATCGTTTCGGAAATGTTTTAAAATCGTTCCAGAAAAGTAATTTTGTCTGGGTATAATATAGTATATATGTCAATCTCTTGATTTCATGTGTCAGATTCCTGTTCAGACTTACTGCTATCAAAGTGATCGGATGTAAAATGCGTCTAAAGAAAATTTCGATGGATTTATATCTGGGGCTATTCTTAGAACACCAATCTGTCCAATGACAAGCTTCGTTATAAGCAGATACGAAACAGGTATGCGAAGAATGTTGCTTAGACTAACCTAGAAAACATGAATTATAATTAGCCAAGCGAAACCAGGGAGGGATTTTAAACCTCGGAAAATTCAGTGATTGGAGAAAGGAAATTTGTTTCGCGTCGATCAACCAGTGAAAATCTACGGAAATTGTCAGAACACGGGTTTATGTATGGCTGATCGAGGATAATACACGAATCACGACTGGTTGAATTCATTGGTGTGTAAAATCAATTGTCTTTTGACCAATCAGAGCAAAGGATTAACCCATGGGATTTACCGCAATGTGGTGTGAGGTCAGCGGTCAATAATAACCGAACCCCCCTATAGGATAAATTGAAGGTGTGGCTTGAATGCTTGGTGATCGACTCTCGGCCATTTCCTGATTTCTGAGTTCGTCGGTTCTGGCTCATAGCAAGGGATAGTTTACTTGGATTTGGAAAGGTAGGTTGAAAAATATCACTTATAGAAGACTATGGGATCGGAGATCGTGAACTATTTGAAGGGTTTGAGGGGTTAATCAAGCCATAAGTGTAGTTGATACTTCAGAATGGCAGCGATTC